CATGATATACATTTGCCATCTTTGAGTTGGACTCTTTAAATATTACTGCTTGATTTGGTTTGACATCACTCTCACATCCCTGCCCTCTGCTGTGAGAATGAACACCCTAAACAGGGGCTACTTCATCAGCCTGAGGCTCTGAATGATAAGATATCGAGCTGCTGAGCCACGTTGAGCATGCTGAGTCAAGCAGAGCTCAGGCTGATCTACAGCCCTCGTGCAATGTGAGCCAGAAAGAAATTTATGCTGCTGTAAGTTACTGAGACTTCGAGACTGGTTATCACCAGAGCAAACTGAAAATACAGACATTCAGAGGACCCTTACCTTGTGAGGAAGAAGTTTATCATGTTCTCAGCATTCATTTCGCCTTTGTTCTAATATTACCAAAGAGGCTTTCATCTGGGATCTACTCCTTTTTCAAGCACCATTCAAATGGTTTGGGTGATTCTATGCACAAGTCCCAGCTCCACGAGGTGTGGATACTGTTCTTTGTTCATATTGACTTGATCAGAAGTGGGTTCATGCCCCTCTTCAGTCATGAGACATGTTTATTAACTTTTATCTATTGGCATGCTTACTACTGAGGAAAGCTTTCTCTGGACTTAAGCCTGGACAGCTAAGTCCAGATCTTTCAGTGGCCATCATGAGAAGATAGATTGTTTTTAAAAGGCTAAATATGAAAGTGAGACTGAGCTCTATGACATTATTGAGACCTTGAACACAACCATTGTATTCCTGGAATTTCCTTGAATTAATACATAATTCTCCTTTATATTTTAGACAATTTGAGTTAAGCTTAATCATAACCAAAATAGCCTATATTACTATAGCTCCCATTTATCTTTTTTAAAAAATTTGTTGAAGTTCTCAAGTAAAGTAAGTAAATCAAGAAATACCAAAGTCTTGAATTAAAAAAAAAAACACATAAAATTCTATGAAATTTAAGGAAACAGATGTGTATTTTGTGAAGTTACTGGCCACATGATAGGAAAATGCTGACTTCAAGAGTCCAAGAAGGATTTCTTCAACATTGTGTCCCAAGCAACAGAGAAAATTATTAAGAAGCTGGAAGACATTAGTAACAGAGTAAGAATGTGCATGCTTTGTTTCTCTTCTGTTCTCTCAGTGAGAGAAAAGAAAGGCAGTAAGAAGTATACAACTCTACACAAATAACCATACAAGGAAGTCATCATTTTTAGTTGATGCAAACTAGAAAAGACATTATTTGGGGAAGCTGGTGGAATACTGGACAATATTTGTGAATGTGTTTGAAAGTTAGCTAAATTTTCAACTAGCACAACAGGAAGTGGATAGATAAGATTCAAAGGAATGATAAGTCAATAAAAATAAAGCTCCATCTAAAACTATCCTCCCTAGGTTTGGACTCCTCATTACAACTAAAGTCATAAATGGTTAAAGGGATTGCCTCTTACAAAAAGGTCTGAGAATGAGAGTGATAGGAAGGACAAGGGAAGATAATCTTGTACAAACCTGTACAACTGGATTTCCTACTTGTTTTGTGTCTTATTTTTATTTTTTATAAGTAAATGAGTTAAACTCAGCAACTGAAAGAAAAAGTTTTAATTAAACTAAAATAAAATTTGAACTACATGATGCATGCAAGAATTTACAATGAAAAGTCTACCTAACATAAAATAGAGGAACAAAAAAATGACTCTGAACTCTAAAAATACATTAATAGAGCACTCAACTTAAAAAAGTATACAAAAGATTTGAAAAGACATTTAACCAAAGATATAAAAATAATAAATAAGCACACAAAAAAATGTTCATCATTATTACTCATTGGGAAAATTGAAATTAAAACAAGATACACTGTGGTATGGTATCTTACTGAGGATGCTAAGGACACCGTGAGGCAGCTAGAACTCTTACCCTCTGGATGAGAATGCAAACTACTGCAAACATCTTAAACAGTTTGATAGTTTCTTAAAAATTTAAACACATACCTACTCTATAATATCACTATAACCCAGTCACTCCACTCTTAGATATTTACCCAAGGGGAGGAAAAAGTATATGCCCACACAAAAGACTTGTACAACAACATACTTACAGCTTTATATGTAATGGTCAAAAACTGAAATAGGACTTCCAGAATGACATATTTATGAACCCATTCCTCAGTGAAATAACTGTGATGATAAAAATGATAAAGGCCCCAAACCCCTAATCGTTTAAACTCACTGGAAACTGTCCTAGGATATGCAGCAAATATATAATTATTTATGCAGTGAGCCTTTGTGCCACTTCAGTCATGCCCTGTTTCCCCTTTCTCCACTCCCAGCTCAGCATAAGAGAAAATCCACTCTGGTCAGGTGCAGCCAAGGTGATATGGCTAAGCTTGCTCCAGATCTTCATCAGAAACTATAGTGTTTCCACAGGAGGAGAAGGCTGCAAGCATTTCTCATCCTTCCAAGTTCTGTTTTGCTCTGGCAGAAGCTGAATACCAAACAAATGTAACCAAGAGATAGAGGGCTCCCTTCCCTCATTCAACCCTCACTCTCAGCATTGAGGCTCTACTCAGGAAGGCAGACCAAGAATAATGGACCCCATGTGTTAATAAATGTAATCCTTTCCCCAGCTTGCTCATGGGGCAGAGATTCCATGCTGGTAGAGGAAAGCTGAGAAACCAGAGGCTACCATCCTCACCCAGCACCCTGCTTATAAAGTAAAGGAGTCACCACATGAGAATAATCCACCATCATCTCCCACAGTCCTGGGAAAATGACTCGAGATTTTGCCCATGGGGAGACGCAGACCATAAAACCAGAAGAATTCAGAGCCCTCTTCAGGTGAGCTGACTTGACGGAGTAGAGTAAGAGAAAGGTCAAGTCTAATGACACCTGTGAAATTAATGGGAATTTGGAGTTCTAGTATGTAACAGGAGATTGGAGACTCTAAAAGAGCAACCAAGTGAAACACAGGCCAGTTGATTTAACAGGGGAAAAAAAAAAAAAAAAACCAGCTAAAATGATCGCTTTTAGTTTCAGAACAAACCTCAAAACTGCCTTCAAAAACTACTCCTGAAAAGGGGCATGTTCTTGATTGGGTCAGACCATGGAGAAATTTATACTGCAAGGCAATGTCAAAAAATTAGAACAATCAGCTGGAAATTAGCAAGCCTAGCCAACTGTGTGTAATATCAAAAGAGGCAGAAGCTTAACACAAAGAACTGGAGAAGAGTCAAAGAGAGCTCTGTTAAGACACTGTCATTTTTGACTTTGCAGACATCCAAGCCAGCACTCTGAGAAGTGATATCAGAGGTATCACACTGCAGGGAAGTGGACTTCACTAAAACAATCCAGTCCAAACACTAATCAAATGAACAAGCAAGCAAAGCAACAAGACATCCTGAACAAGGGAGATTAGCGTCCAGAGTTACTACAACATATTATCTGAATAGCCAGTTTTCAACAAAATAGTTTGAGGCACACGAAGAAATGGGAAAATGAGATCCATACACAGGAGAAAAACAAGTAACAGAAAATGTCTGTAAGAGGGCCAGATGTCTGACTTAGCAGACAGACTTCAAGGCAACTATAAACATATTTTAAAAACTAAAGGAAATCATTCCTTAAGAAGTGAAGGAAAGAGTTCCACTTCTGGTTGACAGTGTGATGAACTCCGAGGACATACTTCCCAGTGAAACTGATGGGAAACATGAAAGGACAATCACTTAAAGAGATTATGTTGAATGAAAAACGCCAGACAAAATTAAGTACGTGTTACCACAGAAAATGTAAATATCATAGTGAGAGAGTCAGATGAGTGGTTGCTTGGCTATGCAGGGGGGTGGTGGGGGAAGGGTGTGGAAACTTTGGGGGGTGATTAATATGTAAATTCTTTTTATGATGGTGACCCTTTCATAAGTTATATACACATCAAAATATATCAAAGTTTACACTTTAAATATTTATAGTGTTTTTCATGTAAATTCTTCATAAAGCTCTCTAAAAATTTTGCACAAAAGTATAATAGGAAAAAGCTAACAGAAAGAATGTGGAGAATCACAATTCCATGAAGTTTTATCCTTTAACTTAGGAGATATCTTTAAATGCTTCCTTCCCCAAAAATGCACTCCACTGTCTCATTATAAAGACTATTAATTTTTTTCAAATTATATAGAATTAACACCGAAACAGCACAGAATTCACCCTGCATGCAGACAGAAACATTTTGAAGTCCTCCATCTATCCTCATACTCCTTTGCAATTTGAAGGTTATTCTAAACACAGAATGGTTTGGTTACTTGAACATCTGCAAAGAGATAGCTTGTTCCTTTCTCAGATCACTGTTTATCAAACTTCAGTGTGTATATGAATTACTATGCTTATTTTATATACAAAATACAATCACATATATGAAATATATTGACAATCTAGGGGAGGTAGCAAGCGCAATTTGGTTAAGGTGTGATTTTTGCCTTACAAGTATGAATGCAATCAAAATCAAAGCCAAAGGCATTGAATCAAAGCATTACTGTATCACTATGGATATATCATCAGAATTACAAGGGTACATAGTAAGGAAGCTTTATTCCCTCAATAAGTTATCACTCATATGAAAAATAATAGCAGGAAATACAAAGAAGTAGCAGATAAATACAGAAGTGGAAAGCTTTTTTTAGTCCTTCGCAACTATTTAAATCTTGAGGAGTGGTCAGAGAAATTCAATGTGCAGTAAAGTAAATAAGCAATATAACTCCTATTTTCAAAAAACTATTTTTTGTTGTAGTACCTCTAGTAATATACAATATCCTATGTTAATCACATAAACATATAATTTGTCATTAAACACCTTAATTTGGGAGACATGTTTGACTATACTCGAGAACTAGAGTCACCGGCAAAGCCCATTAAAATTTTTCGGTAAATACAAACCGAATATGGGTAATAAAATAAAGTCTAACCCTTTGCTTTTCTTCGTGCTCCATCTAGTTGCGCATGCTCACAGGTTGCCGTGGGCAGAGGCCTTGCACCAACGCTTCGGACCCGAGTTTCTGGTAAGAAATGGCTGCACTGATGTGTCATCTCCTGCCGTGTGCAGAAGCGCTGGGCACAACACCCAGTTCTGCAGGCAGTGGGGCCAAGTGGGCTGTGCGCAGTGGCGGTATAGACCGCAGGTCTGAGTTCCCCCCGACCCCAGAACTCCACCCCTTCCCTGCCCTGCACATCAGGAGAGTGTGTTCTAGAGCTCAGCTCAGGCCTCTTAATTCTTTGACCGAAGAATATAGCTTTCCTTTGTGTCCAAACCAAACTTGGTCTTAATCTACTTGCTCCAGAGACACAGGGCAGGAAGGCTCTTGCTGGGGTCTTACCCACAAGTGTCAGTAACTCTACTATTTGCATTAACTTATTGCGTGTCTGCATGCTCAGTCATGTCCAACTCTTTGTCATCCCACGGGCTGTAACCCACCAGGCTCCTCTGTCCATGGGATCTCCCAGGCAAGATTCTGGAATGGGTTGCCATTTTCTTCCCCAGGGGATCTTCCCAACCCAGGGATGGAACCTGTATCTCCTGCATCAGCAAGTGGATTCTTTACCACTGTAGCGTTTGCGGTTATTAACATTGGCTTCCCTGGTAGCTCAGATGGTAAAGTATTTGTCTGCAATGCAGGAGACCAGGGTTCAATCCCTGGGTTGGGAAGATCCCCTGGAGAAGGAAATGGCAGTCCACTCCAGTGCTCTTGCCTGGAAAATCCCATGGATGGAGGAGCCTGGTAGGCTATAGTCCATGGGGTTGCAAAGAGTTGGACACGACTGAGCAACTTCAGTTTCACATTGATTTTTGGAATGAAGATCATATCAGACTATTAATGATCAACTACTGCTCTCTAAAAAGCTCCTCTAAGCCTCAGTTGTATACCAAAAGCATAGCACTTTATTATTTTGCAGTAGTCTGTAAATTGGCTGGTGGTTCCTCTGATAGTCACCCAGGCTCTCTTAAACAACTGCATTCAGATGGAGGTTTACCTGTGGCTATAAGATGCAAGATGATCTAACAATTTTTAAGCAGTCAGTGATGACTTTTGGATGGGTCACTTTAATTCTTCTCCATGTAGCCTTTCATCCTACAGCAATGGGTCACTTTAATTCTTCCCCATGTAGCCTTTCATCCTATAGCATTCTTAACTGGTGTCTAAATGGTGATTCTCAGGGCAGCTGAGAGTGGCAGCTGCAAACGCCATTAAGGGCCAGGTCTGGGAATCATTTTCTATTGATCGAAGCAGGTCACAAGATTAGCCCACGTTCAAGGGTATGAAACTGCTGAGGGAAATGCCTTTAAGATCCTTAGAATACTTTCAGCAGACTGACAAGGTAAATGAGGCATGAATTTAAATCTCTAAAAGGTCTTTCTTAAAAATTGCACAGGCACAGCCTTGGTGAGGTCTCTGTCTGCTGAGGTTATTTTATGTTGAAGATTTTTTACTGCTGGGCAGAATGGAAGCAGCCACCTCCAACCCAGTATGTTCTCTAGGTCTGCTATATTCTTTCTAAATTTAATTGCAGATCATTTCCTTCCTTAGCTCCTTTCCTTCCAACATCTTATATGCAGCTAAATATACACATTAAACCTACCTGCATTCTCAAGTTTCTGTCCATAGATGTCCATGATCATATCCTGTTCAATATGTATATATTCTACCCTCAGTTCCAGAAGTCAGTATTTTTGTTAACTGTTCTTCCATAACATCACATGGATTACCCTTTCTCTAGCCTCCAACAGTACCTTTTCCAGCCATCTTCCCTGTCTTTGCTTACATATTTCTCACTGCTTTTCCAAATTCTCTTGTCACCCAGTCCTAAAATCAATGACACAATTACTTCAAGATTTTTGTTATAGTAGCTCCCAACTTCCTGGTACTAGCTTCTATAACTACTAGCTATTGGTACAAAACAAAGTGCACCAAAACTCAGTGGCATAAACCACAAATATTTATTATTTATCATCAGCCTCTGGGTTGGCAGGTGACCTCTCTGCTGACTTACCTGGGTAACCTCAATGGATGCTAGAAGATAAACTGGGCTATGTAGGGGAGAAAAAATAATTTTCCGCCTACCCTTCTGAGTTATCACTGAGTCTGTAACAAAAGACAGATTAACAAGAGAAAAAATGGACATAAGATTTTGAAAATGTATACATCATGAGCACCCCCCCCAAAATGAATAATTTAAAGAGGTAGCTTAGAATTTAGACTTATACATCATTAACTCATGTCCATGACCTAATGGACATGAGTAACAGCTATGAGTTACATGAGTAACAGCCATGGCATCACTGATGTGATGGACATGAGTTTGAGTAGACTCTGGGAGTTGGTGATGGACAGGGAAACCTGGCATGCTATAATCCATGGGGTCTCAAGGAATTGGACAAGACTGAGCAACTGAACTGACTGATAAAGGAAAGGAAATATTTAGTCCTCTGAGGGGAGAGTAAATGACTTTTTGGAAATATAAACAGACCCTTGAAAGAATAGATGGAAGATGTGATAGTTGGTGACAGTTTTCCTGGGTGTGGTGTAGACTTCTAGTCTCCTCTGTGTGATAAGAAGCAATCTCTTCTGGTTGATGAAATTCCCAGGGGGGGCATTTATGAGAACTGAACTCCTTTTAAAACAAATGTTTAGACAGATAAAAGGAGTTTGGAATAAGTCTATCTCTGAATTCACTGTTTTTCAAGTGCCTGGAGTTCAAAATAATCAATACACCAAAGTGCATATTTGGGGATGGCTTTTTCAGCTACCCGTCAGTTGTAATGTACAAGATGGCCTCACTCACCTCTCTGAAAGTTGGTGCTATCTCTCACTGGTGACAACTTACTTCTCCCAGTTGTCTCTTGCCTTCCATTGGGCTAGACCATTGCCCTTATACAATGGTCTAGGAGCAGCAATTTAAAGAGAAAAGGCAAATACTACAAATCCTCTTGAGGCCATAGCTGCTGAACTCACATAACATAATTTCCAGCACATTTTATCAGTTCAAGGGTGCCACAAGGCCAGCCAATAATCAAGGCATGAGAAATTATACTTCATCTCTTGATACTAGTTGCTACATAGAATTTATGTTCTTATTTAATCTATCATACAGATGAATAAAATAGAAGTGTCTAGAAGCATAGTATTCTAAATTTATTTTAAAATTGTAAATACTAAAAAAGGAAAGATAAGGATAATTTTATATCTATGACAAACCTAGGCAGTGTATTAAAAAGAAGAGACATCACTTTCTTGACAAAGGTCCATACAGTCAAAACTATGGTTTTTCCAGTGGTCATGCATGGATGTGAGAATTGGACCATAAAGAAGGCTGAGCACCAAAGATTTGATGCTTTTGAACTGTGGTGGTGGAGAAGACTCTTGAGAATCGCATGGACTGCAAGGAGATCAAGCCAGTCAATTCTAAAGGAAATCAACCCTGAATATTCATTGGAAGGACTGATGTTGAAGCTGAAGCTCCGATACTTTGACCACCTGATGCAAAGAGCTGACTCACTGGAAAAGACTCTGATGCTGGGAAAGATTGAAGGCCAAAGGAGAAGGAGATGGCAGAAGATGAAATGGTTAGATACCATCAGCAACTCAGTGGACATGAATTTGAGCAAAATTCATGACAGTGGAGGACAGAGCAGCCTGGTCTGCCACAGTCAATGGGGTTACAAAGAGCCAGACCCAACTTAGTGACTGAAGAGCAACAATATTTTGAAGAAATAAAAATGCATAGTTAACTTCTGAAAAAGAAGAAAACAGTTTCTCCATATTAATGGTGTTTTTCTTTATTTTTTGTGAATTATGTGACAATATTTTGGTTTTAATTTTCTCTAACAACTGGGCATTCTAAAGATAAAAATGAAAATGGTAATAAAAGGTTTCCTGGCTTGGAGTATTCTGCTTTTCACAACAAACCTGAGAAAAAACCAATATATATATTGATGGGTTTCTTCATAAAACAGCTTCCATTGGTGCTGCTGAAAACACAGTATGGACGGATGAGTTGCAGGGTCACAAAAAATATTTGACTTATGTACATGTAATTAAATGTATTATTGTTGTTTAAAAATTCATTTTATATTCTATTATATATACTGCTAAAACATATCTTTATTTTCTTCTCTGCATATAAAGTCATTATCATTTTTACATATTTTTTTTCTTGATATGAACTTTTTTGTAATTTGGTTTTATTTTATTCAATATTCTGTTTGTGAAGTTTGAACAAATTGACATGGGTGACACCAATTGTGCAACTATTTTAAAGTGTCCCATCTTATATATTTCAAATGGTTTATCCATTCTTTTATTTACATTTAGAATTTTACTGTTTGAAGCAAATCTGTTATAAATGGTTTTATATCTCCTTAGGGATACATGCAAAATTGTGTCTAGCAGTGGAAATGGAATTATGAAATAGGAGCATATTCAAGTATTCCACAATTTGCCAAATTGTTCCCCAAAATGGTTGTGACAAGTTATCTCTGCAATCCTCCAAAAAGTAGAGCTGTCTTATGGGATCCACATCATCTCCCAACATTTAATATTTCTGGGTATTTTGACTTTTAATTTAAATGTGTGAAAAATATGCAAAAAAGATGTCCTTTTCAATATAGGGGACTGTAATGCAAAGGTAGAAGTCAAGAAACACCTGTAGTAATGGGCAAATTTGGCTTTGGAGTACAGAATGAAGCAGGGCAAAGGCTAACAGAGTTTTGTCAAGAGAACTCACTGGTCATAGCAAACACGCTCTTCCAACAACACAAGAGAAGACTCTACACGTGGACATCACCAGATGGTAACACATGGACATCACAAGATGGTAAACACTGAAATCAGACTGATTATATTCTTTGCAGCCAAAGATGGAGAAGCTCTATACAGTCAGCAAAAATAAGTCCAGGAGTTGACTGTGGCTCAGATCATGAACTTATTGCCAAATTCAGACTTAAATTGAAGAAAGTGGGGTAAACCACTAGACCATTCAGGTATGACCTACATCAAATCCCTTATGATAATACAATGGAAGTGAGAAATAGATTTAAGGGACTGGATCTATAGACAGAATGCCTGATGAACTATGGACAGAGGTACATGACATAGTACAGGAGACAGGGAGCAAGACCATCCCC